GCCTTTCCACACATAAAATTTGCATATCACAGGCTTCGCCACCTCGTCTCACCAACACCAAATCCTTATCTTCGGTATTTATTTGCCTCCCAGCAATTCCCAAGCTTCTCCAACACTTCCTTGCTCCCTAAGATCCCAGAATTCAACATCTAACATCTACCATCCGTCCATGATCCTAGCTGGGTCAGTCTTCAGCTGCTGACAGTCGAAGACTGTAATACTTAGGGAATATATGGGAATCTTAACACATCCTTTTTGTAATGGACTGATGAATCCACTGTGTGGTGAAGCATTTCTTCAATAAACATTCCTACATGTTTCATAAGTGCCTCTTCCACTTACACACTTCACTCATGTCTCCCATCATTCTTCGTCTAAGAATGCAGGTTAAGGGATTTCAATCTCTCTTCGTATGGAAGATGCATCTCACATCCTTAACCAACTGTAGTATCCTACACTACAAGATACAATCCTACATCCTCTTAACAGCTATAACTCAAAGAATACAATACCATCCATATATCTAAAGCTACCCATTGTATCCCAGCCACGATACAATGATACAGTCATACAGTACTCTCCTTGGAGGGAAAATACATGGTGTATACACAGTGTATGACCTAAATACACTATTTATGTACAAACTTTGATTTTAAAAGCCCTGAAATATATGCATAAAGGTGTGGCAGATAAACACCAGAGTTTGGGAGGAAGTTTGGTATGCATGTTAGTTGCCTGCAGTGCTTCACTGCTGCCTGCTGGTGCTTCACTGCTACCTGCTAGTGTTTCACTGCTGCCTGCTGGTGCTTCACTGCTACCTGCTGGTGCTTCACTGCTGCCTGCTAGTGCTTCACTGCTGCCTGCGGGTGTTTCACTGCTGTCTGCTGGTGCTTCACTGCTGCCTGTGGTGCTTCACTGCTGCCTGTGGTGCTTCACTGCTGCCTGTGGTGCTTCACTGCTGCCTGCTGGTGCTTCACTGCTGCCTGCTGGTGCTTCACTGCTGCCTGCAGTGCTTCACTGCTGCCGCTGGTGCTTCACTGCTGCCCGCTGGTGCTTCATGCTGCCTGCAGTTTCTTCACTGCTGCCTGCTGGTGCTTCATGCTGCCTGCTGGTTTCTTCACTGCTGTCTTTTTGGTGCTTCACTGCTGCCTGCTGGTGCTTCACTGCTGCCTGCTGGTCCTTCACTGCTGCCTTGGGTGGTGCTTCATGCTGCCTGTTTGGGGCTTCACTGCTACCTGTTAGTGCTTCACTACTGCCTGCTGGTGCTTCACTGCTGCCTGCTAGTGCTTCACTGCTGCCTGCTGGTGCTTCACTGCTGCCCGCTGTTGCTTCACTGCTACTGTTAGTGCTTCATGCTGCCTGCTAGTACTTCATGCTGCCTGCTTAGTACTTCATGCTGCCTGCTGGTGCTTCACTGTGCCTGTTGGTGCTTCACTGCTGCCTGCTGGTGCTTCACTGCTGCCTGCTAGTGCTTCACTGCTGCTGCTGGTGTTCACTGCTGCCTGCTGGTGCTTCACTGCTACCTGTGGTGCTTCACTGCTGCCTGTTAGTGCTTCACTGCTGCCTGCTGGTGCTTCACTGCTGCCCGCTAGTGCTTCACTGCTGCATGCTGTGCTTCACTGCTGCCTTGCTAGTGCATCACTGCTAGTGCTTCACTGCTGCATGCTAGTGCTTCACTGCTGCCTGCTGGTGCTTCACTGCTGCCTGCTGGTGCTTCACTGCTACCTGCTGGTGCTTCACTGCTGCCTGTTAGTGCTTCACTGCTGCCTGCTGGTGCTTCACTGCTGCCTGCTGGTGCTTCACTGCTGCCTGCCGGTGCTTCACTGCTACCTGTTAGTGCTTCACTGCTGCCTGCTGGTGCTTCACTGCTGCCTGCTAGTGCTTCACTGCTGCCTGCTGGTGCTTCACTGCTGCCTGCTAGTGCTTCACTGCTTCCTGCTGGTGCTTCACTGCTGCCTGCTAGTGCTTCACTGCTACCTGTTAGTGCTTCACTGCTGCCTGCTAGTGCTTCAGTGCTGCTGCTAGTGCATCACTGTAGTGCTTCACTGCTGCCTGCTAGTGCTTCACTGCTTCTGGGTGGTGCTTCACTGTAAACCCGTTAGTGCTTCACTGCTGCCTGCTGGTGCTTCATGCTGCTGATAGTGCTTCATGATGCCTGCTGGTTTCTTTTACTGATGCCGGGTGGTGCTTCACTGCTGCCTGCTAGTGCTTCACTGCTGCCTGCTAGTGCATCACTGCTAGTGCTTCACTGCTGCCTGCTAGTACTTCACTGCTGCCTGCTAGTGCTTCACTGCTTTCCTGTGGTGCTTCACTGCTGCCTGTTGGTGTTCACTGCTGCTGCTAGTACTTCACTGCTGCCTGCTAGTATTTTACTGCTGTGCTTGTACTTCACTGCTGCCTGCTAGTACTTCACTGCTGCCTGCTGGTGCTTCACTGCTGCCTGCTAGTACTTCACTGCTGCCTGCTAGTGCTTCACTGCTGCCTGCTGGTGCTTCACTGCTGCCTGCTAGTGCTTCACTGCTGCCTGCTAGTGCATCACTGCTAGTGCTTCACTGCTGCCTGCTAGTGCTTCACTGCTGCCTGCTAGTGCATCACTGCTAGTGCTTCACTGCTGCCTGCTAGTGCTTCACTGCTGCCTGCTGGTGCTTTACTGCTACCTGTTAGTGCTTCACTGCTGCCTGCTGGTGCTTCACTGCTGCCTGCTAGTGCATCACTGCTAGTGCTTCACTGCTGCCTGCTGGTGCTTCACTGCTGCCTGCTAGTGCTTCACTGCTGCTGCTGGTGCTTCACTGATGCCCGCTGGTGCTTCATGCTGCCCGCTGGTGCTTCACTGCTGCCTGTTGGGCTTCATGCTGCCCGCTAGTGCATCACTGCTAGTGCTTCATTGCTGCCTGTGGTGTTCACTGCTGCCTGCTTGTACTTCACTGTGCCCGCTGGTGCTTCACTGCTGCCTGCTAGTACTTCACTTCTGCCTGCTAGTGCTTCACTGCTGCCTGCTAGTGCATCACTGCTAGTGCTTCACTGCTGCCTGTTAGTGGTTCACTGCTGCCTGCTGGTGCTTCACTGCTGCCTGCTGGTGCTTCACTGCTGCCTGCTGGTGCTTCACTGCTCCCTGCTGGTGCTTCACTGCTGCCTGCTGGTGTTTCACTGCTGTCTGCTAGTGCTTCACTGCTGCCTGCTGGTGCTTCACTGCTGCCTGCTGGTGCTTCACTGTTGCCTGCTGGTGCTTCACTGCTGCCTGCTAGTGCTTCACTGCTGCCTGCTAGTGCTTCACTGCTGCCTGCAGGTGCTTCACTGCTGCCTGCTGGTGCTTCACTCCTGCCTGTTAGTGCTTCACCGCCGCCTGCTAGTGCTTCACTGCTGCTGCTAGTTTCTTCACTGCTGCCTGCTGGTGCTTCACTGCTACTGTTAGTGATTCACTGCCGCCCTGCTAGTGCTTCACTGCTGCCTGCTGGTGCTTCACTGCTGCCTGCTTGTTCTTCACTGCTGCCTGATGGTGTATCACTGCTGCCTGCTAGTGCTTCACTGCTGCCTGCTAGTGCTTCACTGCTGCCTGTTGGTGCTTCACTGCTGCCTGCTAGTGCATCACTGCTAGTGCTTCATTGCTGCCTGCTAGTACTTCACTGCTGCCTGCTCGTGCTTCACTGCTGTCTGCTAGTACTTCACTGCTGCCTGCTAGTGCTTCACTGCTGCCTGCTAGTGCTTCACTGCTGCCTGCTGGTGCTTTTACTGCTGCCTGCTGGTGCTTCACTGCTGCCCGCTGGTGCTTCACTGCTGCCTGTAGTGCTTCTCTGCTGCCTGCTAGTGCTTCACTGCTAGTGCTTCACTGCTGCCTGCTGGTGCTTCATTGCTGCCTGCTAGTGCATCACTGCTAGTGCTTCACTGCCGCCTGCTGGTGCTTCATTGCTGCCTGCTAATGCTTCACTGCTGCCTGTGGTTTCTTCACTGCTGCTGCAGTGCATCACTGCTAGTGCTTCACTGCCGCCTGCTGGTGCTTCATTGCTGCCTGCTAATGCTTCACTGCTGCCTGCTGGTGCTTCACTGCTGCCTGCTGGTGCTTCATTGCTGCCTGCTAGTGCATCACTGCTAGTGCTTCACTGCTGCCTGATAGTGCTTCACTGCTGCCTGCTGGTGCTTCACTGCTGCCTGCTGGTGCTTCACTGTTGCCTGCTGGTGCTTCACTGCTGCCTGCTAGTGCATCACTGCTAGTGCTTCACTGCTGCCTGCTAGTGCATCACTGCTAGTGCTTCACTGCTGCCTGCTAGTGCTTCACTGCTGCCTGCTTTGGGGCTTCATTGCTGCCTGCTAGTGCATCACTGCTAGTGCTTCACTGCTGCCTGCTAGTGCTTCCACTGCTGCTGCTGGTGCTTCCACTGCTGCCTGCTGGTGCTTCACTGCTGCCCGCTGGTGCTTCACTGTTTGCCTGCTGGTGCTTCACTGCTGCCTGCTGGTGCTTCACTGCTGCCTGCTAGTGCATCACTGCTGTGCTTCAAATGCTGCCAGTGGTGCTTCACTTTCGCCTGCTAGTGCTTCACTGCTGCCTGCTAGTGCTTCATGCTGCCTGCTAGTGCTTCACTTCTGCCTGCTGGGTGCTTCACTGCTGCATGCTAGTGCTTCCTGCTGCTGCTAGTGCATCACTGCTAGTGTTCACTGCTGCCTGCTGTGTTCACTGCTGCCTGCTGTGCTTCACTGCTGCCTGCTAGTACTTCACTGCTGCCTGCTGGGGCTTCACTGCTGCCTTTTTAGTACTTCACTGCTGCCCGCTAGTACTTCACTGCTGCCTGCTGGTGCTTCACTGCTGGCCTGGGTGCTTCACTGCTGCCTGTGGTGCTTCACTGCTGCCTGCTGGTGCTTCACTGCTGCCTGCTGGTGCTTCACTGCTGCCTGCTGGTGCTTCACTGCTGCCTGCTAGTACTTCACTGCTGCCTGTTAGTACTTCACTGCTGCCTGCTGGTGCTTCACTGCTGCCTGCTGGTGCTTCGCTGCTGCCTGCTGGTGCTTCACTGCTGCCCGCTAGTTTCTTCACTGCTGCCTGTTAGTACTTCACTGCTGCCTGCTGGTGCTTCACTGTCCCGCTGTGGTGCTTCCTGCTGGTGCTTCACTGCTGGTGCTTCACTTTCTACACATGGGCAGGAGGGTGTAACTTCCAGGATGGTTGTTGTCACTGCAGTAAACCTCAAGACTTAATTTCTATTTTACTATAAAATCCTACCATTTTCACTGTAATCTCCTATAGTCTAAGTAATCCCTCCCATAAGGTCCAATTTTACACGTAAAAGGTCCCTAATTTGATCTTTGAGTGTTCTTTGCAGTTAATAACAGATTTATATTTGTGTTTTAAATTGATGTACCCAATTTGCAGCCAAAACTAATTCAAATCGGGTTCATCATTTTAAAACAGACTTGTGTTTCATAATAATTTACCCAATTTGAAGCCAAAACTAATTCAAATCGGGTTCATCATTTTAAAACAGTCTCTAGAAGTGAGGGAAACTGTGAGAGAATAAGATAGTTTGGGTGAATGATGCTGGCGCGTTTTTCAGTCTTTTAAAGACGCACTTACGCTGGTATTTGCGTTAGTGCGTCGCCTCATCCCTTTGGGGATTATATAAGGGGTTTTAAGCGCGGATTTACTAGCCCAAACACCCTTTTTCACTCCGGTAATTAACGTGGTTATTCCCGCGAGGTGTGTGTGTTTGTGTGTGTGTTTGTGTGTGTGTGTGTGTTTGTGTGTGTGTGTTTGTGTGTGTGTGTTTGTGTGTGGGTGTTTGTGTGTGGGTGTTTGTTTTGTGTTTGTGTGTGGGTTTGTGTGTGGGTGTTTGTGTGTGGGTGTTTGTGTGTGTGTGTGTATTTTGTATGTGTGTATTTGTGTGTTTTGTGTATTTGTTGTGTGTGTGTTTTTTGTTTTGGTGTATTTGTGTGTGTGTGTTTGTGTTGTTTTGTTTGTTGTGTGTGTTTGGGTGTGGGTGTTTGTGTGTGTGTGTGTATTTGTGTATGTGTGTATTTGTGTGTGTGTGTATTTGTGTGTGTGTGTGTTTGTGTGTGTGTTGTTTTGTGGTGTGGTTTGTGTGTGTGTGTTTGTGGGTGTGGGTTGTGTGTGTGTGTTTGTGTGTGTGTGTTTGTGTGTGTGTGTTTGTGTGTGTGTGTGTACTCATCTATATGTTATTGCAGGGGGCGAGTCACAGCTCCTGGCCCCGCATCTTCGCTGGCGAATGTGTCATTCTGACTGTCTCTATCACTGTCAATTTTATTCCTTTCCATTATTCTGATTTCCATTATCCTTATAATGCTTTTAAATCATTATTCTATCTCATCATATTTTTTAGATTCCCCCTTCCACACGGTCATTAACTTCAATTTTTACCCCCAAGGGGAC